ATAATGAATAATTTTATAGAAAAGTTTAATATTTAAAGTATGAGTATATTAATTTTAATTTTTTATATATATAGGTAAATATACTTACCCAAAAAATTTACTCTCTCGTTCTTAAAATAATAAATATTTTAAAAATTTTTTTTTATCAAAGTAATAATTTTTTATTTTAAAAAAGATAAATATTTTGTTACTACTTTAACTTTATAATTATCTCTCAAGTTTAATTATTTATTATTTGATTAAATTTATTTTTAATTTCTATTTATTTTGTAAAAATAAGATAAATAAAAATTATATTTAAATTTTTAATTTTAAAATAAAATTAAAAAAATCTATTACTGTGAGACAAAGGAGTACAAACGTGCAAGTGTAGGAGACTCTAATTGTGGGTTCAATTGCCAATTACTAAAATAAATCAATAATAATTATTTTAATAAAAATATAAAATTTTAAAGTTAAACCACCTAACATGGACTGAAATAGAAAAAGGTTGACTCCTGCAAACAGGTCAAGATGTAACAAAAAAAAAAAAAAGTAAAGGGTTGCGATCAGCTTGTATTTGGACATGCAGGCTGCAGCACATACTGGGCAATGGGCAGGAGAAACGTGGAATCCAAATTGATCATATTTTGGGCCAAGATTGTAAAATTTGTTAAAACCGTGAAGTATGAGGTGAGGCATACGGGCTGGCCAACTGGGTCACCACTCCCACCAGCACAATCGCTCCTCTTTCTGACTATGTAATTGGGTTTAAATTATTAGATGTTTGCAGGGGATGAAAGGTCTTCGACAATGGAATTGGGTCGCGGGTGTGGTCTCAAGGTCTGGTCCGGCTTCGAGTTTTGACCGCCTTGTGTTTCTCGTTAGCATCAGAGTCCTGAAATTGCTCAAACTCAAAGCACCTCTCATTAATCCGACAATCCTCGCTTTCGTGGCTTCTCTCTCTCATTCTGCTACTCACTAACTTCCCACAACTCTCAATCTTCTGCAATCTTCATTGGAGACAAAGGTAACTTCTTTGTCAACAACGTTTTTTGTTTTTTTTTTTTTTTTTTTTTTT